CAAAAGTAACGACTTTTTAAGTAGTACTTATCGAGTATACCGAATAGCATGCTCGACGGACACAAATCGAAAGAAGATCGCTTTTAAAGCAATAGTCTCGAAGCTTATATGCAAAAGCACTTGATTGTTAGCTTAACGTATATCGAATACTTTTCGAAAGAGTATCGCAAAAGCATATAGTCAATAGCTTAGCGTGTGACGTAAACTCCGAGTATATAGCTTTTCGCAAAGGAAGCAAATTTAAAAGGGATATAAAGATTAACCTTTGGTTCGATTCTTTGCGTAAGTTATTAAATATATATAAAAAAGAAGAGCTTCGATATATACTTAACGTTAAATCAAAAGATGTGTATGAATATAGCTATGATAGAATCGTAAGTAAATAAGAAAGGAAAAGGAAGACGATCGAAGGACACTCGAATGTGTGCTATAAGTACGTGTATTGTATTATGTGTAATATGATGCTGGTTCAAAGAGGAACCAACTACTCGTTTATATAAGAGCTTGCACGTGACTTAACTACGTGACTTAACTACGTGCTTAGCAGGGCCAGAGCATGCCGCGCACTCACGTGACAAAGGTGCTTAGCATCAGTACTATATACATGGACAAAACAAATACAGAGCCCTAACTCCACCACAATATGCATATGCATAATTACTAATCAAGTTTACTAATCACATTTATTAATCACATTTACTAATCACATTTACTAATCACATTTACTAATTATATTTACTAATCAAAGACTCAAAGTATTAGTTAAATTTACTAGTTACAAAGGCCCAAGGGTTGGTAAAGACCCGTTCTTTAGCTTAAGTTTATTAATTATAAAGAGTTGATAAAGACCCGTCCTTTTGCAGTTACGTAAAATACGTTCAACTCGGTCTCCGCTTTTAGCTTAAGCTCTTGCTTGTAAGCATAGTTCAGATAAATCTCGTCTGACTTAAATAGCTCTCTTAGCTTTTAGCACTTGTTGCTCTACTTAAACTCATTTTCATCCGAGAACTTAAAGGTAAAGCGTTTATATACTAAAGTGCTATCGATAATGAAGAGGTATAGCATCAATAGCTCTTTTAAGATGCTTTTAGCTTCAGCATAATCGCTATCGAAAAGCTCAAGAGTAAGATCACTTAAGATCAATCGAACTTTAATATCTTTATAAGTGAATTGCTTTCCAATTAAGTTAAAGAAAGAGATAAAGTAGTCGAAAAGACAAAGGACTTGAGCGCTCTCTTTTTAAATAAAAAATCAATTAGTGATCATAGAATATAAATGTTATTATTAACTTTGTTAGCACCGTAATGCTTGATGCTAAACTCGTCGATAAAACCTTTGCGATCTTTCTATTCGTAATCGAGGCCGATTAGTCTTAAAAACAAAGCGGTATCCTCTCCGTCATAGCAAGTAAACATTGAATTAACAACGTTATTATTAGCATAAACGATTACGAAATCCTTATAACGACTAGATATCTCGTTGATTAGCTTATTGCTACCGGTGCTAAAAGGGTTGACTTCGACTATAGCGTTATAAAAGAAAGGAATCGACATTGTTAAATAAAGAAAATAATTAGCTTAAAGCAAAGAATCAAAAAGTAAAGAATCAAAAAAAAAAATAATTACTTAAGTTGAGTGTAGTTATAGTTGAGTGTTGAAGTTGATTAAAAAGTTAAGTGTTAAAGTTAAGAAGTTAAGTGTTGAAGTTAAAGTTGAAAAGTTAAGTGTTGAGGTTGAGAAGTTGAATAGAAAGTAGTTGTAATAATAATGAAAAAAAGAAAAGGAAAAGGAAAAGGAGCGAGTACTTATATAAAAATAAAAGTATAGCTTAATCGTAATCGAGGCATTGCTTCGATTTATCAAAAATGAATTATAATATTTAAAACAATAAATCGACGCGGAACAAAAAAAATAACGCGTTTTAAAATAATAAATCGACGCGGAACAAAGAAAATAACGCGTCGCTTAATAATAATCGATGCAATGCTTTGATTCAACAAAAGTGAATTACAATATTTAAAACACGAACTCGACGCGGAACAAAAAAGGAACGCTTCGCTTAGTAAATCTGATTAGTAAATCTGATTAATAAATCTGATTAATAAATCTGATTAGTAAATCTAATTAGTAAATCTGATTAATAAATGCTGTACGAAAAGAAACCTTGCATGCTGCACGTCTTTTTGCTACACGTACTTAGCTCGGCTATAACTCGGTTATAGCTCGGCTATAGCACGTGCTTTACCGTACGTAATTTAATTAGTAAATCTAATTAGTAAATCTAATTAATAAATGCTACACAAAAAGAATTAACGTACTTAAGGCTGCTATACGTAACTTACGTAAGGCTGCTACACGTAACTTACGTAAAGCTGCTATACGTAACCTACGTAAGGCTGCCATACGTAACCTACGTAAAGCTGCT